TCATGGCTCACTAGTACACATTGGACCAATGGGGATTGACCAACTTGGACTAGGATCAGTCAACCTTGAACCATGTGCGTTTTATCATTTGTAGGATCACGGAACAACCCCAGCTGTAGCACTAAATTTTTGGCCAGGGTGGTCCTAGATCAACTACCGATTAAATAACATATAAACTGCTATAACAAGAGCTCTTTTTGTTTTAACAATTTTATCTGAGATTTTTTCCTGACCACATAGTAGATACAATTATACCTGTGCATAATACACATGCAGAATAGTGCCCATTCAATTACTTACGGTGGTTGTCTCTAAACATTGTAAAAGATGATGATGTTGTTTTTCAAAACCAGACATGTTAGCGGTAAACTCTTCCATCGTGCCACCTCCCTGTAATGAGAAAGTGAAAATTGATTAACACACATTAGTGACATTAATATCCCTTATTTTCATTCTTTGCATTCCTAAAACATTTTAGATGATAGGTGTGTAGGTGATGTGAACAAAAACATTCCAAAAACCAAACTGTTTCAACCCTTTGAACACCAACGTCAAACGTCCACACAAAATAAAGTCACATCATTTTTTCCATACTTTGGTCTTGACCAAATAAGAACTCAATTTTATTTGGTTCAAAATTAACAAAAAAAATCATAGAAAAATGAATATAAAAACATGCAAAATACATTGAATTTTTGGTGGAAAATATAATGATATTCAAAGGGCTAAAAACATACAAAATCAAACGACAACATCTTAAACATTTAGGTGATTTTACACAAGGGGCACTGCATATGTGATTAGTATCCCTGTATACCGGTAACTGTACATTTGGATAACAAGACACTGTTTAATGATTTATAAAGTCATTGTTTGCCTATGAGGGATTTGAATGTGAATTCCATGTATACTAATAGTAGGAGAATGTTAATTGAATGCGACAATTATGTTGTATGTGTGTTTGTACAGTTGTCACGGATAATACAGTAAAAACACTTTGAAATGACACAACATTAGAGAATTTGACTCAAAGCATAAATTAAGGGAATTTTAATAAAACTGCCAAAACAATCTCATCATGGGATTATAATTTATTTTACATCAACTACATCTCAAATTAATGAAATTACAGATTAACTAAATCAGCCTAATATAACAAGCTAGCACAAAAGATGCATTTTACAGTAATTCATTTCAAAATTCAACAAAAATACTTGTTTTAACTATTAAATATATTCATGTACATAGCAGAATTTCTGACCAACACTGAGAAAACAATAAGCAACAGTTTTGTTTTCTTCTCAGCCTGTGAAATAATTGCATGACTGTATTTCTGTTTGTTGTCTGTCCACTGGCACTTATTTTTGCTGTTGCAGAAATCCAGCATTGCCTTTGACAATACAATTCCTTCCGGATTGACATTTTGGTGGCAAGCATAAACTTGAAAGTATGGCTTTTAGAAATGGGTTGCTATGGAGATATTCTAACATGCCTAAAAAAGTTGTGTTGACATCATTTCAATTGTAAAACTTTCACATATTTTTAAAAAAAATATGTTTAGTGCCAGGCAACAGTTCTGGACATTGAATGTCATTGTTGTCCCTCCTGACTTTTTGTATGTACAAGTGCTAGTACTGACACACAGTGCATTTTTGCCACCGAAGTTGTCTTCTTGTTTGGGACTACATGACAGGACTGTGTGGCCATCTCTCTATCAAATGGCAATTTTAATGTGCTATCCTGGCGTCAACCAGGCTTGGTCGAACACAAGCACCTGCAGACCTTAACCAAGGTTCCAAACGCCGCATTCGTTAGTGAATGAATCTCAGCCAGTGGAATTGGCCTTCCCATTCCCACACTCACCCAGCGTAGGGGTGACCCATTTGATGTTCAGCCTAAGATAAGATTTGACCTTGGGTCTACTGGTCAAGAGTCTGATGCAACAACCACTATGCTACCAGTGGTTGGTGGTCACTTTCACATATAATACACAGAGAACTGACAAGCGCTGTCTGCATATTTGACTGCAGTTGCTGATGAGAAAAACACCACCTGCTTCTGACAAAATTCACAGAGATGAAGAAATTGATCAGACTCAGCAGTAATAATATCATAAATTAATTCAGAAAGACACCGATGGTTGCGTTTGTCAGTTTGCAATACACAACGGTACAATAAACAATTGTTATTAATATTTTAGTAGGATTTTCAATTTTGTGAAATTATAATCTTCAAAATTATGATTAATTGGTGTCAAAAGTTCATGAAATGTTTTCCTATGAAGAGCACTGTCACCATGGCAACCATGAGATGAACTGGAGTGCTGATGACATGATTGATATAAAGTAGAATTCCTCATCAGGTTATTTTTCTTTTGCTTATTATTGCATATTGTATTTTCAAAATCAGTTGTTTAATCAGCAATGAGAGAACGAGTCATGCGGGAAAAACGATTTGTACTTCATTTTTTTTTTTACATTCATAATCACAATATAAATGTGAGCTAAATAAAATGTCAAACAACGAGGTAAGTTGGAGACTTCCATCATAAATTGTTATCACTTCAAATGATTCCTCCAAATTAATTAGACTTCCAAACGAAATATGAAACTGTTATTGCGGTATCAACATTGAGAGCGCCCTCTATAGTACTGAAATTCTGTTTGTATAATCTTAAAGATAATTTCACCAGCACCGTTGCAAATAAGATATACTACATACGAAAACAGATGCACATAGTGATGGACCATCAAGCTAGCAATAGGTCAACTAGTAGCGACAGCACATATAGATCAAAACGAACCACAATTAATATGAGTTTTTTATTGATTGATATCAACAAATGCTCCAGTAGATTATATGCTTGTCTTTTTTTGTTTGATGATAATTTCAAAATTTTTAACTGAGAACAGATTCAACAACGATTCCACAAATTGATACCCTAGTGTTTATGAATCATTTCAAAGAAAACACACTAATTACACACCAGTCATAGTAATATGTATTGAAAAGTGCAGCTTTTTAAATAAACCGCATTATTTTATTCAATCTCAATATCAGTGGGTCAACAACAACCATTGTTGTTTCAATTTTTTATAACTCTTTAAAAGCTGGTTGCAGCTGTTTAAATGTTTTTTTCTTCCTAGCAGAGAGATGGACTATTAAAATGATTTGATCATCGGACTGGCTGGCTGGCTGTCTGTCTTCATCAAACAAACATGCAGTCGTGAGAATAGGTACTCAGCGAATAGCAGCACAAGTGTGACTATTATATTCGCAAGCGATCTGTCATACAGGAAGCGCTGAACTTTTTTGTCACTGCATAAGAAATAAGAAGTTGAATTCTGGCTTTCATGTACAACAAACCCAATCTATTCATTTTAAGTAATGTTTATAAATTTCAATGGCAGTTTAATTCCCCCAGTCAATTGAAAATGCAATCAGGCATTGATAGTCTGAATTGCGAAATTTATAAATGTTTATAAAAATGTTAAGAATGGGTTTGTTGTGTCAATAGTACACTGATATTTCATAGCCTTCTGAAGATTCACACATGTTCAATCAATCAAGATAAGATCACGAAAGGTTTTAATAAAAAAGCATGAATATTAATTAGCTTATTTGCATGCAGTTGTTGTGCATCTCACATAGCCATAAAACTGTAATGTTATTCTAATGGCCATTAAAGATTTGATGAAATTTATAGTACTACTAATTTTTTCTGCCAATGTTTTCAATAATATTTCATCAAGAATACCGACCAACCAATAAGCATCGGTAAGCTACGATAGTGAACATCCATTACCATATATCACGTAAAATAATTCTCACAAACTGAATAATGTATATACTATGTATCATTCTGAGTTTATATTTGTTGATGAGAAATACAGTTTTTGAAATTTAGACACGGTTTGCCCTTCTATATAGAGATCTCGTGAACAATAGCACATAACGAACATTATGATGTAATGATATATGAAACGTCATACGATGATTCGGATAAAACAGGATATATAATAAGGGTAATTAACAACAGTTGAAATGAAATCACAAAACAAACTCATTCGATTTTGTGTACTATCACAACGTAGACACGATCAGACCCAACATCTTCTGTAAATGCATATCATATTTGAAATACAGATTATTCATTCATGTAAAGTTAACTATAAGCGACTTTTAACACTGTCTTCACAAAGTGTTAGAAAATAGTCCTGGAACAGTACTAGTACCAGGCAACATGCACTGTCAGTGTGAGTTTATATTTGATCACGCGTGCAATGTTTAATTACTATTAAAAACACATTTCTGCATATCTATAGTAAACAAATAACATTTCTACTGACATCTCCACATCACCTTATCAAAAGCATATACTGGTACTATACGGTACACCTAACCAGAAATGATTTGTGAAATCAACAGAAGATTAAAGCAATACTGATGCCACAACTGCACAAACATGCATGATATACTTGTTCGGTTATTGTATTGTCTGATTTGACATAACCATATCATGTGACATATGTTATATTTCATTGAAATGTAATAAACGTAAACACTCCTCACGCCAATCCCAATTCCAATCTCATTAGTGCTGTATATGAACATCTTGTATATATCATATCTTCAAATAACAATTTGATATATATTTTTGTGAATTTGTATATATCAAGTACACACACCAAAACATTATTCTCTACACGATCATGACACAATTTCATCAATGAGATCTTCACATAAATACATCATAGGAGAATCCTAATACATTAGCCGTCCGCTTAGCTACGCAGAAAACAGCAAACTGGAGTGATGATACCGTCATTATCATACGATCATTTCATACACACGGCATCATCTCCAAGTTCATAAATAATAAAAAAAACAAAAAAAAACACTAAAATCTCATAAATCTCAAAACCACAGAGGAATAAACATCATTTAACGGAAGAGCTTTACTTTTAACAATTGTATTCTCATCATAGTGTGATTCAATGAAGCAAAGAGGCTATAAATAGAAACGATAGCAGTAAATCTTCTTAAATAATTAATCATATTCCCACCTGGGAAAAAAAGTTGGTCATTACAAGCTTTCCAATTGACATTCACAATTTTCATGTCCAATGTGGGCAAAGGTAGTCAATTATTACGAGGCCTGGTACAGGTGGATTGGTTTGATTCCTTGGCAATTTGAGCATGAAAATACCAATAATGAATGTGGATTCAGAAAAATATGAATACTAAAACAACAAAAAAGATCATCAAATAAAAATTATTATTATAATTTATTTTTTTAATCTGGAGATTAAATTTGTTTGATGACAATTTAATCACTTATATATAGGACAGAAAACAAGAAAATGTTTAAAAAGTATTTAATTTTGAAA